TAATTTTAAATTAAAAATTAAACGCACCCGAGCCGAAAATTTAGATATTCATGTGGATTATCCGATTATGTGTGTGTTTGTTGGACTTTCAGCTTAAGGTACGATTCCTATGATGCGTCAGACGCGTGCGGCTGACGCAATGCGTCTGACGCGTATACCTGACGCATGCCGGTGCGATTCCTATGGCGCGTCAGTTGTGTGCGGTCACTGGAAGGTAGTAGGCGTATAATTGGCAAATTTAGAAATTTAGAAATTATATTTATATTATTTTATATTGTATAATTAAATAAAAGTACAAGATGAGTCAACGTGAGTTATTATCATATCTTCTTCTTGAAGAAATTGAAGAAGAAGAATTTCTTATACAGCAATTTATAGAAGGACAGGGGAATGCAAATGAACATCCCTTATTTACGTCAAGGCCAGAAGAAGGATTTTTTGAAATACTTGTTAATCGGCATTTAATGCACGACGACAAAAAATTCCGTGAATTTTTTAGACTAAATATTAATCAATTTAACTACGTTCTGCATCTTATTGAAAAAGATATCACGGTGGATTCTTCTAATCGACATCCATACCCAATAACAGCAGCGGAAAAATTAGCCATAACATTGCGGTGAGTAAAAATTATTAGGTAATATATTACGTATTTTAAATAGTATCATATTATGCCATATAAATTAGTATATGTATACAAACATTTTTCAATTAGGTCAAACAATTTAACCTCTGTAATTTAACGTCTGTAACTCCATACCTCACAATTTTTTTGTAAAACAACTTATAAGAGTGTTTCTCAAAATTAGTCCATAATAATTGAGGTACAACCCTGTACAAACTTGTTGCATATTACGTACAAAGATCGATCAGACATACTAGCTAACAGTACATAATATAATATACATTGTGTGTTTTTATTATATAATGTAGATAAAAATAAGAATACTAAGTATAGGTAAATATAATTATATATATATAATATGATATTATTTATTTTTAATCAATTATAAATCAATATAAATATGTCCACGTCGTTAAATAATATAAAAATTACAATTTTTCGTAATTTGGCTCATAATGGGAATCAAAGTTATTTATGTTTACACTTTGCAATGACTGCGATGAGAAACTTTCTGTGCTTGGCGTCGGTGAATAATGCGGTATATTGACAAATGCATTACGTGCTTCTAAATCAAAAACCATTTGTAGTGACTTCATTTTTGCCTCATTAATCAATGTTGGACTAAGTTTTTTGACGGACATCGCGATACTTTTAAAAAATACATCGACCTCATCTTCATGATTTTGAACCATGTTTCGCACGATATCTTTTCTTTCATTACGCCTTTCTTCTAAAAGCTGTATAAATCTTTCGTTCTGTTTTAGACGTTTATTTTTAGGTGGACCTTGCGACTTAAACGTTTCTTGAGTTGGGTCTTCATTTAAACTTTCACTGGTTGAACAAATTGATCGGTTATTAATTTCCACTGGCTCTTGCGAATCTTCGTTTATTTCTGTACCTTCGTTTCCAGCTTCCTCATCACACTCAATATTTGATATGCTACTATAAGTAGGTATAAATGGGTAAATTAAATTCATAAAGGGAACATGAAAAAATGAATACTCACTTGCGCTTATAATCAGCTTTCCCAAGGAACGTCAGCATATCGGCTAATGGCCAATGCTTAGGCTTGCTTAAAGCTGATGATCCAGTTCCATTTCCTTTTCTTACTCTTTTTTGGTACGTGTCCTTAATATTTCTCCATCTTTTTTTACAATCTTCCACTGCAAATAAAAGCAACTGTATAATAAAAGCTGAGTATTTTTGTATTTTATTTACCTAACTTTAAAGTTCTTATATTTTATTTTCCTTTTTTTATTGTTCCTCTCAATAAATAATTAATAACTTTTGTATAACTACTAATTATTATTAAATTTATATATTATTCTTATTATACACAGTTACCTTTACCTTTTATACGGTTATTGATTTTATTATAAATATAGTTTTTGTACAGCCAAAATTATTTTATTTTCCTATTTATAAACGAAAATAACACAAACATAGCTTAATTTCGTAAGCATATTAATATATTATTATTCATAAAACCATTAGGTATATTATTGATATTACGTTTATACCTAGAAAATGTAAATAACTATAGAAACGTGTTCTGATAATTAACATACAAAATTATATTTTTACATTTTACTTGAGAAATCTTATACCTAATGATTTTGTATTTTAAGATTCATGTCAACTGGCGAATCGTTCCACTCACTGCAATTTGCATTCAGAATATCATCTAGCTACATCAGCAAAATAGTGAAAAATACACTCCGAGTTTTAAATAATAAATTAGCTCCTATATTTTTACCCTCGATTAAATGTGATGAGCTGAAGGTGAAATCTGAAGAATTTGGGGAAAAATGGCATTTTCCTAATTGTGTAGGAGCAATTGACGGTAAACACGTGCGCGTGTTTTGTCCTAAACGAACAGGGTCACTGTACTATAACTACAAAAATTTTTTTTCCATCGTTTTATTAGCTGTCGTCGATGCAAATTATAAATTTATTTTTACTGATGTTGGATCATACGGTAAGGAGGGTGATAGCGGTATATTTGACAAAAGTAATCTCGGAAAGCTATATAGAAATGGAAATTTATTCCCACCACCCAGTAAGCTACCAAATACGAGTATTGTTTTGCCACATGTTTTTGTAGGTGACGAGGCGTTTCGCTTACATACAAACATGATGAAACCTTTTTCTCGTCCTGTTGCGAGTGCAGACAATCGGAAGGCGATTTTCAATTATCGACTTTCTAGAGCTCGTAGAGTTTCGGAAAATGCCTTCGGTCTACTAAGCCAAGTTTTTCGTATATTTTATACACCAATTGCCTTAAAGCCCGAGACCACTGACAATTTGATAATTGTGGCATGCTGCCTACATAATTTATTAAGAGATGCTTATCTAGAAAAACAAGGCAAACCGTATTATGAACTGGACCCAACTCAGCAACCACCGACAAGAAGTTTTTTACCACTTTCTAGAACTGGTGGTTTTTCAAATGCTGATGGGTTCACTGTACGCGATTTATTCATGGAATACTTTAACAGTAATGCAGGGACAATTGCCTGGCAAGATAGTACTACTACAAGAACTAACTAGTTATATATTTATATTATTGTATATTAAGTATTAATACTGTTTTTATTATTATTCTAACTCTTGGACATTAAATATGATTACTATTAATATTAATTATTATTATTTTATTGTATTATCATCTACAAGTTCTTATTTATACTTATTTCTCAATTCTAATAATATATTAATATAATGATAATAGTTCGTAATGCAAAATACATATAAATTATAATAAATGACAATATTCTTACCTGATCTGTTGATTTGTTCAGCTATTTCTCTCCAAGCATTATCCTTGATTAGTTGATTTTTGTAGAGCGGACTAGCCAAATCGTATAGGCAATCGAATTTGGCTACCATCTCCACAAGCTTTTCGTCTTCGATGACAGAAAAAAGTATTTTCGACATGGTGAAAGTATACGAAAAATGAAGTATAGTAATATATTATATATATATTATACGTATATATATTATACGAACGCGCGTGCGGCTGCGTCTATACTGCTCAACAGCCGGGCGGTCCATGCGGCTCTAGCGGTTGACGGCCGCCGCAAAGCTGCTGACGCACTTTAGGAAACGTATCCATTGGATAAGCTTGATAGCAGTACACTGCGTCAGACGCATTGCGTCAGCCGCACGCGTCTGACGCATCATAGGAATCGTACCTTTAAGGTACGGTGTCCAATGCGCGACCGGTCGCCGCGACCAGTTATAATTTTCAGTCGCTGATGACCGACTGGTGTCCAATGCGCGACTGATC